TCCTCGAGAGCCTGACGAAGCTGATCTTCGGTATATTGAGGCATTATATATAGAAGAAGACATGTGCAAAAGATGAGCCCATTTGGACGCGAATTGAAAATGTTGTGATAAAAGGAGGTTGGGGGTGGGCATTGGGTTGTGGTGGATTTTCGCGTTTTTGTGGGTGCCAGAAACAGGGGGGTGCCAGGAAGTGGGTATGTTGACTTAAGACATACAGCCCGATGAGACCCCAGAGCACGTATCCCACTGTAAGCCGGGGTTGTATGGTCGTGAATATTCTCTGCGGCAAGGAGCGAGTCCACGGCTGTGCATTCTTCATCCATTTTGGTGCGTTTTCCATGATTTCGCTAGGGTAACTCCTTGTCCCAGTCGGCCGTCCGAAGTTGTCGTCGTTGTCGTGTAGAAGCGGAAGCGGAGAGTCCGGACCTTCAAGACCCGGGACTTCGGCTAGAGCGTCGAGTTCCACATCGGTGTCTCTGTAAGCAGGAAGGGACTGGCGTGAAGCCATTAAATGAGAGAGCTCTCATAGATCGGGCTAGTTGTGTTGATCGCTGTTGTTCTTGTATTTGTCGTGAAGAGGATGAGATGGAGTTGGCGCGGGCCGGAAGTTGCGGCGGGATGTTCGGCTGCGGTGTTACGTCATCATTCTTGGTGTTCGGACACCACGAGATGGCAGCTGTCGCGCAGACGTCCAAGCAAGTAAACGCTCATTACACTTATTTAATGAACAGCTCATTGGTTCCGCAATCTGATCGCCAGAGCTTAATTTCCACTCTAAGAAAAGAGCGCTCACTCACCGACCGATCACGGACAGATGTGGTAATCCTGCCATCCAGACCTCTGCCTGTGTCTGGCTGCTTAGCCCCTTTAGGCATATGCGGTCATAACAGCCAGGAATCACATTGTCCATAGCATTTTCAAGAGGCGATGAAGGCTGATATCCAAGCTATCATCAGTGAGTGGACGAAGACATCACGTCGCAACCACAGACACTGCTGTAGTGCACCAGTATGGGTATTTACCGGATTGGTGAATAGGTAGTCGGCGGCCACAGCTTCGACACCGAATGATTCTAAACTTCAAGTGGTGAATGAGTTAATATTCAGTTAGGTAGCATGGATTCCCATTGTCCGGGTCGTTCTCCCGCCTCGCGATTTCCAGTATGTCTACGGCTTCTTCGAGCTCGAGGCGATCATCCGACTGACCACGAGCCGTGAGTGTTTGTGGCGATGGGTTCGATATGAGGAAGCCAGCGCCGGTCGGCCTCTTCGAGATTCCTGATACGCAATTGACATAAGAAAGACAAGCTGATGCCTCGGCTCTCCTGAGTTCGGCGTCAGTACCAGCCAAAACCAAAGAGACACGCCCCACGAAAATACTCTAATAGAGTTCCTCTACTCTGTCGCAAGTGAGCCTTAGTCGAAGTCGCGATGGAGCTGAACCGTGGACGTGCTTTGCTCCAGCTCGCCGGGGCACAGCGGATGGTTTCATGGCATGGCTCAAGGTGGAGTCGGGCAAGAAACGCCATGACCGAAGGCTCTTCTGTGATTTGTCTTGGTCGTCGGGCTGCCTCCTGCAAAAAGCCTGCCTGTCAAAGCTCCTATACGGAACAGGGGAGATCTCCACTTGAACAAGGGAACATAATGCAAATCGGTTCGTTTGCCTCTTCTCGTAGTGGATCGGGGTGCTGAGGCATGTTAGGGAGTTGCCTGATTCTCAGCAGTAAATTTACTGCTACCCTATGCGATAGTGATCAACTAAAACGCAGTCAAGGCATCAGTCACGGCAAAAGTGAGGGAAAAAGTCTCGTTAGTGTTCACTCGCTCTTTAAAAGTGTCAAGAGGTAACCTCCACTGTGTCTCCAAGACCACTGAATGAAGCTCATTTCACTTCGATGAAAGGATATCGTCTGAGCTCAAGCGGGCGGCAATATGTACGTCCTCACATCACATCGAGCACTTCCGAAAGTAATTTGGTGTCATCGTTGGCTTGGAGGACTTGCCAGCTCATGTATGATACCGTTTCCGACTTGTTCTCCGGGCTAAGCCTCAGCTATATTGATCACGAAACCCCATCTGCGGTATGCAACTAGACTGCATCACAAACTTCGCGACAGAATCCAAGACAGGCAAGCGCCTTCCTGGCTGTCTTACGAGATAGAAGAGCTCTTCGAAGGCCGAGGCAAGCTTTGCTGCCGCGGCATAAATTGTGATCCAGCCGGCCGGTTGTTCAAATCAATCCAAGCTAGCAAGGCTAGAGGTTGGTCCCAGAAGTTCTCGTAGAACCCTCGCGGCCGACCGGGCATAGCTGCATGTGTGGACATGTCTGGTCGATGAAGATGCTTAGCCACTGTTGACAACAAGATTCTGTACATGAGCTAGAAAGAATAATCAGGGCCTACGAAGGGATTGCTGGAGAATGTTTACTCAAATAGCTGGGATGAACGCCATGTACGCTGCCGCGCTGCCGCGCAGATTACAGAATCTAGCCAATCGCATTTGTCTCTACAGAACATCGAACGGATTCCGGGACGAAGGATCTGGAACTACCCCGGCGTCGTTCGTTTTCCTAAAGACTCCATTGAATAACCCATGACGTGCATCATAACCGCGCCCACCAGTCGCATCTCTCATCTTTGCTCCATTGCTCACCACAGCCCCCCTGCAAAGACCCGCGATGTACCGTGCCTACCTTACCCTAGATCGCCAACCATGGAGCCGATCATCCGCAATTCGTTTTGCAGCGTTTTTACAACTACAGACTTCTCCCACCGCCAACCGAATCGAGAGTCTCGAAATGCGAGTTCTGACCCATGATTGGCGGCTCAAGGTGAAACACACCATGCTGAGACCATGTGGTCCACCACTCAACGTTGAATCGGCCGAGAACCCGATAGCTTGTTTGGGAATTCGCTTTTGATTCCATCTTGGGATGGTCCAGCAACCCCAGTCTTGGCCCCGCCAGGTCGGAGGCGACTCTTTGATGGGGGACCCTCGCGACTTTCAACGTCCTGTAGCCAACTCGACTGTTTTCTAGCCACGCTCCTTGCATTCTCTGTCACAAATGAGCTGAAGTTGATCCATAGCAGCCTCGGCTGGTTCGATTGCCGCGATGGACGGAAAACGGTGGTCGATATTGACTCAGCTTTCGGACTGACGTCTGCCATCGCAACTCAACATATAAGTAGCGCAGCGTCCCCTCGTCCCATGTTATCTTTTCCTTTGATAGAAGTATTCAGAGTAACTCGACGCCAACGTAGCATCTGCCCAACGAACAACCTTTCCTGTCAAAATCACTAGTGCAGAGCGCTTATTTCAATTCCGCAAACATGGTCTATTCGCCCGTCGTCGCTTTAGGTTTTCTGGGCGCTCTGCAGGGCAGGAGCGAGGTCTATTCTCGACAGACAAACGCGACGGGCTGTGCGACGGGCGTGCACATGATTGTGGCCCGGGCCAGCACCGAGCAGCCGGGCACGGGAGTCATTGGTGCCATCGCGAATGGCATCCAGTCGCAGATTCCGGGATCCGATATTGTCCCGGTCGACTATCCTGCGCTACTCAACCCCTACCAGCCGTCGCAAAAGGCTGGCGTCACGGCGATGACGAAGCTGGTCCAGGACTACGCCAAGGCGTGCCCCCAGACGAAAATGGTTCTCATGGGATACTCGCAAGTAAGTGGTTGATCATCGTGACCAGAAAGAGACAGGAAGACTTACAGACAATAAGGGAGCGCATGTCACTGCCGATGTCCTTTGCGGCACAAGCGAGACCGGGTTCGCATCAACAGAGCCCCAGGCTACTGACGTTACGGATAAAAGTACGTTCCGGGTGATATCGATGGATCTTTACCAGGCACTGACATGAACTTAATTGCCGCCGTCGTCCTCATGGGCGACCCAAGCCACGTGACCGGGCAGCCCTTCGATCAGGGAACGAGCCAGAAGAACGGCGTAAGCAAGACGACGAAGAACCTCTCCGGCCAGGACAGATTTTGCTGACCAATTTGCCTTCTAGATCTTTCCAAGAACCAAGACTGCCGGGTGCGACGCCGTCTCGAGCAAAATGGCCTCCTTCTGCAACAGCGGCGACCCGTTCTGCGACAGCGGGGCCAACATCCAGGTTCACCTCAGTTACGTCCAGTCGGATGGGGACGCAGCCACAAAGTTCATCATGTCCAAGGTCGGCGGCGGCGCTGCGGCATGACTGGGAGAAGGCACGGGGGCGAGCCAGTCTGTCAGCCTGCGCTTTTTACTGTACATGACTCTGCTGGCACAGATTGTTGGTTTACTGATCTTGTGAAGGGGATCTTTGCCATGATTTCTTCATGAGCTTGGCACCGGTAAATACCTTGGTCTTTCATGTTGTTACATATGAATAAGTTGAAGCATAGTTAGCGTTCAAATACATGTTTGGTCTTAACACATACCCTTGTCACGAAGATCGATATTCACCCACGTGTCTTTCGACCAGTCAAAGACTCATCATGACCAACGGCTGTCCACTATGAGCCTATGGCCTATCTTCAACGTGAAGACTTTTGGTCGAGGCTGGAAAGCGTAATCAGTTTCTCGCAAAGGGCATGGCGAAATGGTGAAACTTCTATGGGACTGCCAAGGAACACGCATGTCTGGAGAAAAGGCACGGGGGCTTGATCAGTACTTTTGACGGGCAAAAAGCCCTAGCTTGCCAGGAAAGCCGTGATTGAGATTTGGGTGGTCCACTGCATGTCAAAAGTACCCCATATCCTCACAATGGGCTTGACATACCGGTAGATTCTCAAACCTTGGTGGTTATCCTGTTAAGTACAGAATGGCATCAGTAGATAGGTACGTACTCTGTATAAGAGGCAGCAACGAATCAAATATTATCCCATTTTATATTATATTTTTGGCGTATTTATTCTTCCTGACGTAACCAATGAAAAATTTAAGAAGGGATTAGCGTTATTGAAAATCAGCGGCGTGTGAGCCTTGTTACATTCAATGGATTGGCTGGCCTCGCAAATTATATCATCGTCGGCGGAAAATGGTACACGGGCAATAGGTACTGTGGTAGGAGATTGACGACTTTATTCGAGCTGATCCATCGGCTAACCTCTCCCGTGACTGCATATTCTAGCAAGAATACTCCGTGACAAAGTAGGGGTATCTAGAGGAAGACGCAAGCAGGTGGTGTTTGATTGACTGGATAGGCCAGCCGTGGTGTCATTTCCCCTGAAGATCAAGTGTACATTCACAATGTCTTCCTTTATTATTCCTCCTTCGGGATGAACGTGGATGTCGGCTCTGGTTTCTTTCAAAAACAATCAGTCGCGGGAAACAAACGCCCTTTTATGGTGTGGAGATTCTCTAACAGGCGTCCCAATCAGCCGGAGGAAATCAAACCTGGTAGCGGGATGGCTCGACGGGTACCACTTGGACGCTCATACAGGTACCAACGCCCCCCCCCCCCCCCTTAACCTTGGCAGTAACCTTACTTACCTTGTGTCCACCTCATGACTATCCCGGCAAGAACACTCCGTGACGAAGCATTGTTATCTGGTGCAAGATAGGTATAGTTTGCTCGGTTAATCGAGTCATTGTATGGTCTCTCTAGAGTTCAATTTCCCTCTGCCTTCGGCAATCCTCTTGTTGCCCCTGTTTTAAGCAATCCACTCTTTCTTTCCCACGGCCATGGAGATGGATTGATGTCGGAAAGATACCAATTGCGGACAGTCAACGTCAATTCATATCGCGGTAAGTCCCCCACAGGCGTTCCAAGCACTCGGGAACCCAAGTACCGGGAAGTGATTGGGAACCCAGGCACTTGGGAGCATAGCTTGGTGGCGGGATGGCCCGACGGGTGCTTTTAAGGTTAAAATAATCGGCCATTCAGGCATTGATGGCCCGCTTTAAACTTGACTACCGCCAATTTACTTTCTTCGATAACAAGGTACGTAGACTGCCGCCATGTTTCCATCTTCGTGGCGTCTTGCTACAGGAATGCATCCATCTTGTCGGTGTTCCTGGATACTTGCTAGGTCTTTCTCATATCAAATCTCCGGCACAAGCTACGACGACTTTGTGAATTCGCTGGTATTATAGAGCTAGGGGAGGATGACCTCGACTCAATAGTGACCTTCTCTCGCAACCGGGATTAGTGTTTGCTATTTCCATAGGCCGATTTTCTATTCTCCAGTCTATTGTGCCATCTATTGCTATGCCAGGCCATCTATGTTACCATCCCTGGGCCCTTTAGTGCCACTGTTGGTCAAGCCAGGCCGCAAATCCCACTGTCTCTCACTTTTACACTTCGCTCGAGTTTTGGTCCGGCCTAAAACCTCTACGCCCCCTGGCGTTTGGCGTCGTGATCTGTCGCTCATGGTACTTACTCGACATTGTTCTTCCAAGCCCTAATAGGGTTGATGAAATCGGGTGAAGTAGAGACCTCTACGGATCGCGTGCTCAGCAACGTATATAGAGGAGCCCATTTCCCCCTTCCCTGCTGTTCAATTCTGTCATCCTTCATCTCACTCACAATCGTCTACACGCAAGAGTAAGTCTACCAACTGTAAGTTTTTCATTCAGTCAGTTCGCAAGAAACCAAAAACAACATCACAATGTCTTCCTCTTCACACGTTTCTTTCCCCGTCGAGATGGAGTTGGATTCTCCCCCCACTTCATCCTTCGGTTCTTCTTCTTCTTTCACTCCCTCCGAAGGCAGACCTATCCCACCTGTCTTTGGAAATCCCTTCCTTCCTTCTACCTCCAAAGGCAGGCTTCTCCCCCCTGCCTTTGGAGCTCCCTCCTCTCTCTCTTCTTCTTCTTCTCCTCAGCCGGTTGGCTCTCAGGTTGGCTCTCACACCGACTCTGATCCAACCGAAGATCTCATCCAAGGCTTCTCCTCCTTTGCCATAGGCGCTGGCCCTCTCCCCCCTGCTCTTACCAAGCAGGTAGCCGCCCCTATTCACCCCCTCTCTCTTATGGCTGCTCGAGTCGCTTGGGCTAAGTGCAAGAAGAGCAAGTGCTCTCCCTCTGGCAATCACTTCCGCCAGAATCACCCCCTCTACCGCAAGTACTCCAACCTCTCTCTCTTCTCTTCTTCCCCCAAGAACCGCTCCAAGAGTGGCGATATCCCCCGTGGCCCCTCCTCTTCTTCTCCGGCGCCTGTGAATCCTTTCAAGGCCAAGCCTGAAGGTATTCGCAAGCGCCGTGGCCGGGGTCAGGGCAGAGCTCAGGTGAAGCAGCATCAGGCTCAGGGCAATGGTCAGACTCCTCCCCGTGGCCCTCGGAACTCTTCCCCTGATCAGCGTCGGTCTAATCCCCAGCCCGCTCGAGGTCAGCCTCGCGGGTCTAGACCGAATGGCAATCAGGGCCCGAGGGCTGCTCAGTCTGTTAACCGCAATCCCTTTACGCCTGTTGCTGTGAATCCGTTCTCTCGTCCCTTGCCCCAGGCATCCGCTCCCGCTCCCCCTTCTCAGCCACGCAATCGTCGCTCTCGGGGCGGTTCTCGCCGCAACCCCATCACTCTCTGAGTACTTGTTTCCCTCTCTTGTTTTTCTTTCTGTACTTTGTTTTCTTCTTGCACTTACACAAAAGCCCAAAAAAACTTGAAAAGCCTAAAGAGAAAAAAAAATCCCGTTTCCTTTGTCTTGGTTTGAGATCTTCATTCTTACGCTCCGCTTCCGTTTTCTTTTGTTTTTTTTGTTTTTGCTTTTCTTTCTCTCTTCTCTCTCTCCTCCCTTCTCTCTTCTCTCCGATGTTGTTTTTGGTTTCAGGCGAATTGGTAGACTTTTTATCGCTTGCGTGTAGGCGATTATTTTACCTCCCTGGCCCCGGCGAGCCACCATCGCGAAATCGCCTTTCTCCCCTCCCCCTTTCCTCCAAGGCCCCAGTGAGCCACCTTCGGGAAATCACTCTTCTCCCCACCCCCAATCCTCCAAGGCCCCGGCGAGCCACCATCGCGAAATCGCCTTTCTCCCCACCCTCTTTTCTCTCCCTGGCCCCAGCGAGCCGCTATCATGAAATCGCTTCTCTACCCATCCTCTTTTCTCTCTCCGGCCCCAGTGAGCCACCTTCGGGAAATCACTCTTCTCCCCACCTTCTCTTCTCTCCTCGGCCCCAGCGAGCCACCATCGTGAAATCGCTTCTCTCCCCACCCTCTTTTCTCCTCCACGGCTTCAGTGAGCCACCATCGTGAAATCACTTTCCTCCCCACCTTCTTCTCCTTGGCCCCGGTGAGCCTATCACTACTCCTCTGGGCGATGAAGTCGGACTCCAAACCTCCCCGTGGTATTGCCTGGGAACTTCCTCTCCTTCATTGGATTGGTTGCTAAGTCCTTCGGGACTGGAGACGCACACATTAGTAAGTTGTTTCTTCTCACTTTTGGTTGATACACTTACTTTTAGGCTACTCACTTCTTTCTCCATGCCGCTGTGATTTGGTGTTGCTAATGTGGCAGGCTGACTGCACTTGCTTCTTGGGCAAGATCCCCTGACTGAGCAGCATGTGACTAAGGTAGGTTCTTGCCCTCATTCCTCTTTTCACTCGTATCCCATCTGACTAACTCGTAAATGAATTAAGTCAACATACCCACTTCCTGGCACCCCCCTGTTTCTGGCACCCACAAAAACGCGAAAATCCACCACAACCCAATGCCCACCCCCAACCTCCTTTTATCACAACATTTTCAATTCGCGTCCAAATGGGCTCATCTTTTGCACATGTCTTCTTCTATATATAATGCCTCAATATACCGAAGATCAGCTTCGTCAGGCTCTCGAGGA